TCAGCGCAACCCAGTCGATTCTCTTCATGTCGTTCTGCTCTATAATCGCCTTCATGTTAGTGGGCCAACATGAAAACAAGCAAGGCTCCCAGTCTGTGAGAGCTTCTCTGCTCTCTATAGCCGTATACGTTTAGGAGTCTTCCTACTTCTTTGCAACGCACTCCTAACCTTGTGAGCCTTCACTGCTGACCAGATGTCTCAGTTGTCTCCCTATGAGAGGGAGCTTCCCCTGAAGTTTCAATCCTGTCTCGTTCACTGAGAGGACACGTCCAGCCACCTCACCGCAAGACTATCTATCCCTATCGGCCCTGTCCTCTCCCAGAAAACAGGCTGGGGCCAGCATTGCACTCCTACTGACTCCTACATGATGGATTTTAATTCCTAGATGCATTTTAATTTTAATTTCCATTACTCTTAGTGATCTCCTCCCGGTAACAGTGCTTTCTTTATTGCGATGCTGCTACAAGCAGATTCTTTGTGGGAGGCAACAACATTTTTAAGAACAAGTAATAGGTTTATTCCATGCTGAAAAAAAGAAGAAAGAGAACACAACGTTTCGGCCGTGGAGCCTTCTTCAGGTGTGAGAGAGACAGGGCAGAAACCTGAAGCTCACACCTGAAGAAGGCTCCACGGCCGAAACGTTGTGTTCTCTTTCTTCTTTTTTTCAGCATGGAATAAACCTATTACTTGTTCCTTTGCAGCCTACGCATGCTGACGCAGCTACCCACCTGAACATTTTTAAGAAGCACATTTCATGAATAAGGTAACCCAGTCTTAAAACCATGCACTGATCTCATTCTAAAATCAATCTCGGCATAAGCCCATTTGAAAATGCTGAAAGGTAAACAACAAAGTCAATGCATAATGTTTCAGCTATTAATCCTCTTACCTGTGAAGGACAAACATAATACCATAGGAACATAAGGACATTTCAAACAAGAGGATGCCTTTCAACCCATCCAGTTCACTTGCTAGTTAGAAGTGAATTGATCCAAGCACCACTGAAATTAATTTATGTTTTCCACGTCAAAGGATTTGAATACGTTTGCATTCATAACTTTTCTAATATTGTATTAATGAGCAATTTACTTCTTTTTTGGTTTTTGCTTTGACTCTGGGGAGTTCTTTTGTGTATGTAACAAATTATAATTTTTACCAGAAATTCACATGACTGCAAGCTTTAAAGCAACGAGCATGTGAAAACAGTAAAGTTGTCCGAATAGTTTTGCAAGCCGCTGTGTAAGAAGAATAAGAGAGGGGGAGTAAGAGAAGATGTCAGAGGTGAAGACAAACCCTTTCAATTCACATTTGGCTGTCTTTCATACTTCCCCTTGGAGACTGTGAAATCCACTGGATTATTTTAGATCAATGTGAAAACAAAACACTGGATGTAATCTGAATCCATTTCCACCTTCTGTTACTTTCCCCACCTCTTCTCTCTTCCTCTTGGTAAGGAACCGAAGGTACTGTGAGAAAGTAATAATGAAAGCATACAGAATATTATAATATGTAGATAAGATAAGATCACTTTATTGGCCATATACAGTTCAATTTCTCACATTAGGACTTTGTCTTTTCACATACCCCAGCTTGCTCTCCATGAGACACGCAGACAGAAAGAGAAGCTTGGGGTCAGGGCGCAGGGTCAGCAATTTATACAGCACCCCTGGAGCAGCTGGGGTTAAGGGCCTTCCTCGGCCCAAGGGAGTAGGATTCCTCTCCCAGCCATGGGATACGAACCGGCAACCCTCTGGCCACACACACAGATCCTTAGCCACAGAGCCACTGCTCCGTCCGAAAATAGGTGTAGTTGAAAGTGTAAAATTTTAATTTATAGATGTAACTTCCTTGAATCAAAAATCAGTAAGTAACCTGAACCTTTTAGTCTTGAACAGAGATGCAGAGGGCACATCATTGAATTATTTAAAATCCCCAAAGGAAAATTAGATTGCTGCTGTTAGTTGTTTGTGGGCCAGTAGGTGTTGATTTTCCATGTGGTCCAGAATTTGTAAATGAATGGCCTCGTATGGTGATCGTGTACTGCTGTAGAACGGTCTGTCCCTGACATGTGACTTTAAAGTGAGAGTCTGACTTCGTTAATCACTAAAGATCCAGTGGTGAAGTTCTTGAGAGTAAGGATGTTAACTCTAGTCCCCTAACTAAATTCCAATCCTGGAATGCACAGCATGACCTGTCTAAAGGTCCCCCTTAATTCAATTGGAGAAGCAATTTTTCATTTCTCCACTTGAACTGGTGTGCAGTGAGGCTGCTGGTGCAGTTTAGAACGTTGCTATTGTTGCTTCTAATTGAAATGTTTTCCTTATGTTTTGAGCATGCCACGAGCATGTTTTCTACCAGCAACGTTTGACTACTTTGTCATTAACAATGCCATGGTTGTATGAGTAGGAGGTATTGACCTTGATGTCCTGGCCAAATTGTAGTCTTGGCTTTTAGTGTACAATCTGACCTCCTTGAATTTCCATCTTCATTCAATATATGGAACACTTTCTTACTTTTGCAGTTCGGCAGTGCTGCACTTCTGTGGTGGGTGCAGAATTGCCCTTTATACATGAACATTCTTTGAAAAAGATTGTGATGAAAAGCTCTAAACAAGTGCAAGGAATTAGAATCCCCTTGTCTCAGAGGAAATGATCAAGAATGGTATTTTGCCACCATTTCTCAGTTCATTCATTTCCAATGATTCATTACCTAAAAACTATTAAAAGTAAAATAAGAGAATATCTAACTTTCCAGAATATCAGTAGAGAAAGAGCAGCTCACTGGGAAAGAACAGAGTTAATCCCAAAATGTTTAATACTTTAAGGGTGGTTTAGGTGATGCATTGCTGGTATTTGTTTCTTCGAAGTGCCATATGGAAATTAGCTTTTTATTAGATCTCAGAAGTAGCTCATATTTTATATGACCAAATTCACATTCAAACTGAATTAAACACAAGTAATTACATTGTTCTTTTGATTGTACATTCTCTAATTATTCCCCTGCTGTTAGACTTATACTGTATACTGTATATAATTTGCATGATTAGTGATTGCAACAATTTCTCCCCTGGCTATAAATATACAATACAGTATATTCACAAGTCATTCTACAGAGAAGTAAAATATAAATGTTTAAAAAAGGAATGGGACTGTCCAAGACCTAATGATTTACCTGTAAAGATATTCAGAAAAGAGTCTTTCAACAATTGTTAGGGCTTTTGCATGGGTTAAATTATTTGATATCGGTAGGTTTACACCACAGTAACAACACTTGAATAAACTAGCTGCGACTGTCTAAAGACATGCTTTGCAGTGTCTAAAACTAACATCAAACACAAGTGGTAGTTTGCAAGTCACCTTGCTATTTGTGGGTTTTTGCCTGCAATGCATGTAGTGTGCACGTAACGACTCACCACACAAGCAGCTACTTCTACATCCTAAATCAATTTCTTAGAGACTGAAAACCTGTTACCTGGTGATCAATTTAATTAAGGCACCCCTAATCTTTGAGGGCAGGGAGCAATGAGAGTTCTGTACCAAATGAGCTCGAAGTGCTAAATTTAACCATCTTTGTATTATCACAAAGCCACCTGTCCTTGGTATGGAATGTGCTGTATGGATGTGGCTTAATTACAAGATAGAAGTACATTTGTCTCGGAAATCCTACAGTATACATGTTTTCAGTAAAATAAATGTATCCATTCCCTGCGTGTGTATTAAATCTAGACAATTAACGTGTACATATGTACCCTTATCTTTATAAACTATACAGTATCTGTGCATATTCATTGTTAATCCAACTATTCCAGTGTTAGAACGTATTCTATTCTTTCCTTTACTCTTCTTACTGTTACACCCAGATTGGCAGCGGCTCACAACGCACAGCGGCCATGAGAGAATGCAGCATTTCTCCGAGCAAGTGCATTTCTCATGGGGCTAAAATTCCAACTACCAGCTTGGGTAGCCTGCAGATTCGCCCATCCTTTTTTCAAGCTGTTTCCTATCAGCTCATTAATCAGACCAGATTCCCTACATAATACCTGAACCAGCAGGGGGAAAGTGCTCTGTCATTTGAGCTACAGAGCTACCGCTATGCTTAGCCCTGACACACTTCTTGCGAACTAGATTCATTGGAAAACCTTTTCCCTGTGTCTTATAATAATAATAATTGCTTACACTTATATAGCGCTTTTTTCTGGACACTCCACTCAAAGCGCTTTACAGGTAATGGGGATCCCCTCCACCTCCACCAGTGTGCAGCCCCACCTGGATGATGCGACGGCAGCCATAGTGCGCCAGAACGCTCACCACACACCAGCTCTCAGCGGGGAGGAGAGCAGAGTAATGAAGCCAATTCATAGGTAGGAGGCCATGATTGGTAACGGCCAATGGGAAATTTGGCCAGGACACCGGGATTACACCCCTACTCTTTTCGAGAAACGCCCTGGGATTTTTAATGACCACAGAGAGTCAGGACCTCGGTTTTACGTCTCATCCGAAGGACGGCGTCTGTTTACAGTATAGTGTTCCCATCACTATACTGGGGCATTAGGACCCACACAGACCACAGGGTGAGCGCCCCCTGCTGGCCCCACTAACACCTCTTCCAGCAGCAACCTTAGTTTTTCCCAGGAGGTCTCCCATCCAGGTACTGACCAGGCTCACACCTGCTGAACTTCAGTGGGTTGCCAGTTGTGAGTTGCAGGGTGATATGGCTGCTGGAAGTCTTGAACCCGACTTCCAAATACCAGAACTTGTCAGAACCCTGTCCAGCCGCCGAAGTCCCCATTCTGTCCTTACTGCCTAGATTCTAGCCTTCTTCCCTGCCCGAATCCAGTCCTTGCTGCTGATTCCCAGAATTCTCCCTCTGCCATGTTTTTTTCCTTTTTTTCGACAAACTTCGCCAGCCTCCTGATATCACATAGCATCTGCAGGTGAGTTGCACACCTGCCTTTAGACGTGGCTTTCAACAAAAATCTAACCACGTCATAACACTTTTACCTTGTAAACTGAAGATTTCTCCCACACTGTCTTGTCTTGTGATGTGGTGCCAGTAAGCGCTGCGAGGGAGAGAGACTGATTTTGACAATGCTCCTTCATTTGAACCGGACTGTATCTGAAACAAAGAAAGAAATTGCAAAGATCTTTCTCCAAATCAGTCTATGAAATACAGTTAGCTAGCTCTTAATTACTTTACATAAAACAGGAGCAAGCTTTTTGATTTGCAGAAAATGGAACAATTGCAGAAAGAACAGATTATGTTCTGAACATTAAAGCTCACATACTGTATATTGAGTATTAATGGCAATGCAGGTAAGTGATGACCCACTTACAAAGCTGGGTTCCATGATTTTAATGTTGCCATTATTTTGAACTATGGAATTTGTATGTACATCTTTGATGTTTATATTGAGCATGATACAGACAACAAATGCCAACAAATGTGATCTCAACAGCGGAAAGAAAAACAAACTTCCAGAAAATCTAAATATTAAAATCAAAACTGAATGTCTTAAAACTATGGTTCTCCTGTAATTGTCCCTTAGAACGTTTGCTAAGGCTTGCTCTAATGTCTTTCTGTGGAAAGCGCACATACCTAAAACCTGAAACACATGGATATAAAAGCGGTGTGGAAGTGCATTTAAACCTAAGAAGTGTGTTATTCAAAACGAGGCAGAAGCAAGAAGCAAACTAACTACTAACTACTAACTACCAAACAGGCTAGATGTCCTGAAATGCCTCCTTTTGTTTGTAAACCATCTTATGTTTTTACCTGTGCATTTTTTTCCATTTCAATCATTAGCCTTTCATGCTGCTGAGCTATAGATAATGTGGCAGAGTGGACCCTCTGGTAGATCATCTCTCCTTCTCTCGTCTGGAATGTGAATAGACCCTCTCCTGTATCACACATTCTGTAGTGAGGGAAGAGTAATTCTGAGATTAGAGGAACAAACAAAATCATTCATAGAATACGAAAATCCATCCTTTAATATATTTTCTACCCACTTCTTCCAAAAGCAAATGAAAACACAGAATAGAAATTTCAAACCCTGTTGATTTTGAAAGGTAACTTTCAATTGGTACCTGTGTTTTGATCATGTTTGCTTACTACTAAAGGGATGCCACTTAATTAACAGGGGACAGCCGAAAATGTTTAATTAGAAAAGCAGTAGTTAAATCTCCTTATGGATGAATAATCTATATGACATTCTTTTCTACTACTGCATTTACTTTCTCTTGCTAGTGATTTTAGGAAAGGGAGTATGCAGTTCCCCCCTTACTATTTTCTTAAAAAGTTACATACTGTGGCTCTCAAAGACTGCACTGTACACTCACAATCTGAAGGAAGTTTTTTTTTAAGTAAGTCTTCAGCTAAAACATCAAACACTACTCCATCATTACCTCTATGGTGCTGGTTGTTACTGCCAATAGTTTGTAAGATGTGCAATGTAAGCTCCCACACACAGCTGCTTTTCTCCAAAAATCATGCTCATTAAGCAACAAAAATCAGGTAAATATACAACTGGTCTGGATTTTAAGCACCAAGAAAATATCTTAAAATATATTTTGGGAAGAAACAGCTGTGTGTAGGATTCTACTCTGAAACATTACTGAGAACACAAATGTTATTTTCTACCAGATTCTTTGTTTATCTTGTAGAAAATATTGAGAATGCCCTTTAAAATATAAATTTCAATGCATTACACCAATACGACTCTGAATGCACAATATGAGTAATAGGTTTTGTTTGTTATTCAGTCCAAACTGTATCATTAAAAGTTGGAAACTGCAAGAAAGCATCTGAACCCTCAATTCAAAATGCATTACCTTATATCGATAACATACAGGAAAATCTGCCAAACAAATTAAGAAATATAAATGTATACAAATGTATAATCCTCATTTTGAATGAAAATTCCTCTCAGAACAGTTATTTGAGGAAATTTATGTGTCCTCTTTTCTGCTAGTTGTCTATATCGTATGAAAAAGAACCACACAGTATGTCTGGTTGTCATCTTATTTCATGTCCACTCTAAATATTTTGTTTTCCTCTTTGGACATGAAAACTTGATTCCATTCTATGGACACTGCTTGACAAATTAGTGGTGAAAAAAAGAAAAAAGCAAGCTTTTGTTTGCTCCATATGATGAAAACATTTATATGTTGTCATCATGTCATGTTTCTCAGCTCTAGCCCTTATATGACACTGAATTTGACCATCTCTTGATAATCCATCCCACTGAGGACAAGAGCCTAGTAGGATAAGATATATTTCATTTTCCTTAAAACATGTTTGTGAACCTGCTTTGTCAGATTTATTTTAACATTTGAACAACTTCATCTTATTGTCCTACTAAGTATGCAGCCAGGATGCTATTTGTCTTCTCTGTGTCCTCTCATTAAGGCTATCTTATGTCATGGAGAAGAAAACAGAATATTCGAGAAAAGAAAATGAGAGAAGATAAAAAATGTTCAATTTCCTTGCAGGTCTGGATACATTGAAGAAGAAAAACATCTATTTTTGAAACAGTAAATCAATGCCTGTACTGTGGCTCTGTGCCAGATTGTACTGTAGTTAGATAATATGCAGATTGACGAGCTGGCATGTCAGCATTAAAAAGAGATTTATGCTAGCATCTTTTCAGCAATATAAAAATTGTTCAGTATGGAGATTGCTTTCCACAAGTAATAGAATAAATTATATGATACTTACATTGTTTATGATTTCACACAAACTGAAACATTGATATTTTGATGAGTGTTGATTCATTTTTATTTAAAGTACAACAGTGTATGGTAACATTTTTATAACTTTTCTAATTAAGAATAATTGAGAAATATATATTTTAATATGTTATTTATTCCAAGATTACTTTTTGTACTAACAAGTAAAGAACTTGACACATAAAACAATGACCTCTATAGACCACACGGATCAATACAAATTACAGAGGAAGCAAATGTTCCTTGTTAGAGTCATCTTACCTACTATGCAAGTCAACAAACAGTATTTAAGAACAAAATTAATCTCTATTCATAAGACTGTATGAGGAATACTACTAAAAATAATAAGTTAATTAAGAATTAATAGAGTACTTATAATAGTTTTCAAGAGAATTAAGAATGCTATACACATTAAATATTATTTTTAGAAGTGCTTACAAACAGTAAAACTGTACACCACAACTTTTTCTGTGGCATTAAAAAACGTCACACAGAAGACACCTGCATAATAGTTTGGACAGTCTGGTATATTTCAGATGTAACCAAAGATCTTGGCGGGTCTGTGCCAGGTTTTCTCATGGTAACCGTGCCGATGTTATTTATCAGAGACCGATTTAGTTATATACTAAGTAAGGGTGATCCAGCCTCAGCCTCGGTTCCATATTTATTTTTTGTGATTCCTCTAAACAGATGCTATAAGGTTCGAGGGATCTGCCACACCACCAAACAAACAAGGGACTAGCAGCCAATCTTGCGATGTAAAGAGAAGTTGGGTGCTGGGTGAGAGGCAGCTAAGTCAGGGACACCTGCAGTGGGAACTGGGAGCTGCATGGAGCTGTGTGCATGGGGAGACAGGGCTGAGAGGGCAGCACACACAGAGGGGAAATGTGCACGGAGCTGTGCTAAGTGCAAGTGGCATTAAGTGCTGCTGTGTGACCAAGATCATGGTCAAGACGGTGGGGTTCAAAAGCATGGAGTTGTGTAGAGTAGAGTCCAAAGTACAAAGAGGAAGTCCGGAAGACAAGGTGGAGTAAGTCAGGGTCAAAGCCAACACGCACACTGTAGAAAAACAAAGCCGAGGGGTGATCCAAGAGAGGAGGTACAAAGTATTTTTAAAAAAAGTACAGCCGGGGAAAAAAAGGTAAGACGACACAGGGACGAAGACTTGAGGGGCTCAGGGAAGAAACTAAGGAACAATACACAAATGGCTCAGAGACAAAACTCATTAACAAGACTCAAGTGGCTCAGAGTCGAAACCAACCCCGACCCCGAGCTCTGTCAGATCCAAGTATTTATCTTGAGAAACACCTGAAACGGGCGGGGTCGTTAACCGTCTCCAGGTGATACAAGTGTCCAGTTAATTGGAGCGCCCCAGGGACACTAGCTGACAGTGTTGGAACTGCTGTTGAGCAGTAGGTGTGGACATAACAGTAAGAACAGTAAAAGATTTAGAATCAGAGAAGATTATTAATCCTCTCTAGCTCGTTTGGTTGCTGAACTACATAACTTCAAGCAAAAAAAACAGCATTTTAGCTCCAAAAACTGTTCTTAGTTTTTCTGAAGCATTTTTCTGTGGTCTTACTGTATTTGTTGTGTTGTTTTTTTCTCTGCTGTTCTTTGATAAACAAGAGTGATACGAATTTATGCCGTCCATGCATTTCTATACAACTTTCGAAAATGTGATAAAACTCTATCCCTGATTACATTTTAAACACTTTTTGGGTCAACACACAAGGTTTGTTTAATTATAATTGTTAATAATTGTGATTATGTTGTTTTGCAAAATGTGGAAAATGAGACTTTAAAGCAAGCTTCTGAAATGCATTCTGTATTCTTGTGAATCAAATTCAATTTCTTTTACAGTGAAATACGTAGAGATGAAAACAGGAATTCAGATGAACTACAGCTTAGCCTTACTTCACAAAAACAAACAAAAGTAAAACGCAATGTTCAGGAGATCAGGACAGTCCATCAAATCAAGGTGGTGGGTATGTTAGAATACTATGCGTTATTCACGTCCTTAGGTTCTTAGGTCTGAGGGTCTGAGCTCTAGGTGGGTGGTTTAAAAGAAACTGTTTCATGTTGAGAGTATGATTTGTATGATAATGAAAACTAAAACTGGAGAGGGGGTTCAATACTCCAATATTTTATTTGGAATTATCTAGTTTAATGTGATGTGGAGTTGAATAAATTGTACGGAAGTTGTAGTTCCAGAAAAACTAAAAAAAAAAACAGTACAGAAATAAAAATAAGAGTCAGTACATACTGTACACCTTTTCAAATATTATTTTTAATTTTAATACGCTAGCGGCTATAAATACAACCAATCTTTCAGCTCCATTTTCTTTACCAATTTGGCCCCAGAGAGAGCAGAATCCATGATTATGGATTATTTCTGTTCTGATGAGAAAGGAGCAGATTTACAAAGCTTTTTCTGAAATTAAAATTTTTGCTTAGCTTGCTTTCAAAAATGAACTAAAGCGTTAAATGCTTTGTAACAAAGAGCAATTCCAAATAAAAGTCTGTTAGGGGTTCTTCATCATATACAGTACATATAGCATTTTAATTTGACATATTGTGCAACTGCATGTTTGAAATTTCTCTTAAAAATAAAGAGGTCACAAACACTTGTATTTGTGCAAATATTATTAAATGTGTCTGCAAATTTCTAGTAAGCACCCCCAGGTTCCTTTATTTCATTAACATGTATGTGTTGTGCTAATGAACAGAATCAATATGATTTTTTTAAAACAAAATAACACAAAACTGTACCTGCCAGACTCAAATGTAAACCACGTGGAGTCTCTTCCATATCTACGGAGGGAACTGAGGGGCCACATGACCAGCTTCACCCTGGCGTTGTGGATATCCCAGAGGTAGATATTCTCATGTGTGATCTGCATTGTGCATTCTCCATAGATGTCCAGATTGGGAGTAGGCATCAGATACACATTGAACCGTTCTGAAATCATAAATAAGATATTTTTTCATTTGTCTTCAGCCTCCTATAGAGTGTTTAATTAAAAGAAAAGGGTGAAATATTATCAATAACCATTTGCCATTCTGTACTTGGCTCAGTGAATTGAAATGATACAGCACTGCTGTGTGCTCTGTTTTCATTCATGGGCCAATAATGGTTTTGATTCAATCCCCCCATTTTGTAGCCCATAACTGTTTGCATGTGAATAAATGAAATGGTTATTAGAAGAGATTAGCGCCACTCAAGCTGAATTACTGTAACACAAATCCCTCTTTTTTTCTTTACCACAAGAAGAAAGGAGCAGAAATCAGCTCAGGTCACCACAGGTTAGAATATATGTACACTTCAACGTTTACATCATATTACAGTATATTATCCATCCATTTTCTAACCAGTTCATCCAATTTAGAGTCACGTGGGAGCCGGAGACTATCCCATCAAGCAATAGGAGGAAAGCAGGGTACTCCCTGCACAGGATACCAAGAAACCAACACAAACACAGGGAGAACATATGAACTCCATGCACATAGCACCCCAGGTCCAGAATTGAACCAAGGACCATAGCACTGCAAGGTAGCAATGATAACCACCAATTATATTAATATAGAGGAGTACTGACATTGTGAATGTTGTCCTGTTTAGTGAAAACAAAAAGGGATATATTTGAAGTGTATACTGTACATATACAATTGTCAGAAATATGAAACAGAAAACAAGGTGTGATTAACTGATTAAGATCTCCATTTGAAAAAAAAAACATTCTGGTGTTATTAAAAGCTATCGTATTCTTTGTTCTCATTTGCGGACCCAAAGGTGAACAGAAAAAGAAACGTGAAGGTCAGTGGACAGTTGCTATGGAGCTGAAGTGGATATCAAGCTGTCATTACATTGTCCTAGAACTGAATATAGAAAACGAACGCTGTGAATTATTTTAAAAGGGCTGACTGCACTTTATAATTAAAATGAATAGCAACTAATTATACATAATATTTCAAAATAAGTTAGATGTCTTGAGAGAGAATGTTACTGTGCAAAATGGTACTATTTTAGGACTAAACGAACTTTGCTTTAATTATTGTGCCCTGCTGTCAGAGATTTACAATGGTTGCACAAAATAATTTGAATACAGACCTTACTTCATTAGGTCCTGGATAGAAAATGTAAGAAATAATACTATTTATAAGGCTCCAGCTGTTTCTCATGCACATATTTTTTACAGCTTCAAATGAACATGTTCATATTATTCATAAATATTAAGCTATATTAACTGATTGAATGAAAATAACCTTAATTCCAAAAATGATTGCTAAAGGACTGAAGAAAGCTAACAGTCAAGATCTTTTTGCAGTAAATAAAGCATTGACATCCAATATAACTTTCAGATGTTTTTCTTACAGTCAGAGAAAAAGTCATACAGTAGATAGATTCATTTGTCTAGAATTGAAATCCAGTTCATACAGTGTTCTGAATAGAAATGGATATGTATGCAGCAAGAGTCTATCTGATAATTTAATGCCCCTATTTAAGGAGTTCTATGAATCCCCAATGACACATAGATCATTTATATATACTGTATATATTACTGTTATGTACTGTAAATTTGGCATTCTCTCTAACAGATCTGGCCTTTGTTATAGTGCGCAGGCTTTCTGTAAAAACATTTTGATGACGCTAAATCATTCAGGACTTCAAAGTTGATCGGAATATGATTGATCATACAAACCCTACCAAGTATGGGCTAGATTTTGTGGACACTGACCGTTCTGCTCTCTCTGCACACCGGCTGCTAACAGGTCTGGCTCACCCAGACTGATGTCATTAAGCCTGCTTCCCAGACACTCCACACACAACAGTTTGCACCACTCCTCTGCCTCCAACTCTGCGGAGATAAAACATACAGTACAGTAGGATCAGGATCTCAATGACACATCATCCGAGGAACAAAAATAAATATCTCTTTTATCCTTGTTTTTTGTAATATCTCCAGCCTGCTTGAAATTGCATTTTTCAAAGTAATGTATAAACCAAAATAACAGATTATTGTATAACTGCAGAAGCCAGGCCATACTGTAGGTTGGCTTGTCTAGATGCTCTCTGTTTTTGTGAATTAATGTTTTATTTGATTTTCTTAAGGCCCCCACAATTGGTTTTAGTAGTTTAGAATAGCGTTTCTCAGGGGAAAAAAAATATAACAGGTGTGCAGCAAACGTTTGGAAAAATCACATATGAGGAAATTAAAAAAGGATATATATACAGTACATGTAAACAAAGCATTGTGTTCGGTGTATAGCATATTAATAAAAGAGGGGAAGAGCCAAGCTCCGACACTAGTTCAGGTGGGTAGCTGCATCAACATGCGTAGTCTGTAAAGGAACACGTAATAGATTTATTCCATGCTGAAAAGAGAAGAGAGAAAACGCAACGTTTCGGCTGTGAAGCCTTCTTCAGGTGTCAGAAAGACAGGGCAGACAGTAATGATTAAATAGCACAGAAGAACAAAAGCTGTGAGGGGAGGAGGCAGGAGAGGCAGAGAGGCCACTCAGGAAGTGCAAAGTGGAGAGAGGTGAAGAAAGGTGTGAAGTCAAAACCAGCATGAGAATAGAGAAGATGACATTAAAATAAGTCTGTCATTGAGAGAAGGGGGGAGGTGTGAACCTAGTTTCAGGATGAGTTTTATTTCTGTTGTCTTTCTGCTATGGCCATTGAGAAACCCTTCTTTGAGAACAGAGACAGAAAGATCAGTGTGATCATGGCCGTCTGAGGTGAAATGAGAAACTATGGACTTGGAGAAATCTTTAATCTTCACAGCCCTACCATGTTCTCTGAAGCGGTCTCCTAGTCTCCTTCCGGTTTCCCCAACATAGATAGCTGGGAATTGTTTGAAGGAGTAAATGAGGTTTCTGAAGGTACAGGGTGTTGTCTGGGAGATCTAGAATTGTCCTGAAGGGCCATGAATGAGAGTGGTGTTAGATATGTATTTGCAGGTGACACAGAGAGTTCTGTTGCAGGGGAAGGTGCCTGGTGGGGATGATTGCTGAGTGCGGTCAAGGGAGCTGTGAACCAGAAGTTTAGGTAGATTGGTTGGTCGGCGGTATGAGATGATTGGGCAGTTAGAAAAAAGGGTACCGGTGGAGGGACCACCCTGTGAAATGAAGTAGTTGTTAATAATGGTGCAGGGGATAGAAAGTGTGTTAGGGTGGTAGGGAAGCACCAAAAGAATGTGGTTTTGAGACCGGGAGTTCCTGGTCAAGTTGATGATCCGAGGGCTGTTTTTGGCCCAAATGAGGGCCCTATCGATAACATCCTCTGTTGATGAAAAAATAATACATTTTGGGTGCTTGGTTCTGCAAATCCATGTAGTTACTGCAGAGTCAACGTAACCTGAGGAACTGTGAAAAAGGGAGAGAGTTTTTGGTGTGAGTGGGGTGAAACACTGTTCACATAGAAATTGTGAGTGTGGTGGAAGTTCAGTTGCCCAGGCTGCAAACTGAGCCTGAGCTCCACTTTTCATTGTCATTAAATCCAGCTAAGATATAGTGACTATGTACTTTGATGCAAACATTAAAAAGTTTTGTTTAGGGCAGGTAACATGTACAGTACTGTAAAGGTCCCAGGAAGTGGGGCAGTGTCCTGCAACATTTTTATAGTTGCAGAAGTGTGTTGTGAAATACCTTAGAAAACCTGACAAAACACTGATTTTAAACAATAGCAAATCCTTATTTTTACAACTAGCTTCTGGATATGAAGTTTTAAAAATGTGTCTTTTGTCCTGACTCAGCTTCCAAAGAGGCAGTATCATGATAAAATGGACAGAGTGGACTTCACACCAGAGAGCAGCAAACTCAAAATCCTATGTGCTGTAAATTGCTGCTGGATCTTGAGGCACTTGAGTGAAATCGCTCCAGTAAGTGCTCAGCTACTGTATATAAATGCTCACTTCTCAGGTAGTCAACGTGAGAATTTGTTACCAGTTGCCTAATCTTTTAAAATAAAGGACTAAATTCAAATGATGCAAATCTGTCCAAAAATAAAGATGAAAATAATAAACCAAACTGTTTAACTAGTGAGAAAGTAGAATGTGTATAAATGTTAGAACTAGCATAGAAATACCACAAGGCAACTGGGCCGATGTTAGTTCACAGCAGGTGGCTACAGGAACATATAAAGTATGTAAGGAAATTCTATCTGGGAGCGACAGTGGTGTACATTGGCATGAGTTGGCTATAATGTTTATTTTCCTGTTAATTCCAACTTTTTATACAGTATGTATACAGGTACTGTATGTAAAGAAGGAGAGAGAAAGAGGTCTCAAAAGAGATATCAGATTTGGCCATCATATGTCACATTAAAATTTTCTTGACTGAAACAGGTGGTCAAAATAAAAAGTTACCAGCTTTATATTAAAAAATGTATTTTTTTAAAAAAAAAGCTTTCTTCTTAAAACAATAAGCACAATTCTACACTTTAGATCCTGTGCTTTGGCAACCCCTAGAATTATTTGAATTAAGCATGGTTTCAGTAATTAATATTAATTAATGTAACTCACTTTGCTGAGGAGAATGACAAACTGTATGGGTGAGGTTGTTAGGGCCCTGGAAAGAAGCAAGAATGAAACCCCATAATTTACGTACTGTAACTGTATGTAATTGGCGAATCCCCAGGACTGTTGTTAAACACTGAGAGAATAAGTACAAATAAGAACTTGAACTTGAACTTTATTGCCATATGTAACCGGTACTGGTACAATGGAATTCTTACTTACAGAAAGTCTCTCGATTGTAAAACATGTGTAAAAAACAAAACAAAGTGCAAACAGTGCATCAAGACAATATACAAACAAACAGTAGACAATGTGCCAGTAAACATGTAGACAGTTTGAATGTAAACACTACAGACGTGTGAACAATGACTGGAGATGTGCAATAGATAAGAAATCATAAAGAAGTAGATGGTGATGGTGTAGGTGTGGTCCGAGGGGGATGGCTAAATGTGTTCGCCAATCTCAATGTATTGTTATAAATGGAAAATAAAACTCCAATGTATTGTTATAAATGGCAAATAAAATTTGAACAAAGACTACAAATGGCATAAGTGAAAAGGATATGGCTGGCCAATCTAAGAATAAAGGAAGATTATAGGTCCATATGAAGCTTTAATAACGTTTTCAAACCAACGATTGAATGAGGTCTGAATTTGGCTCCACCGAGCTGGTTGAGTCACTGGACTGAATATGGACTCAGCTCCTGCGAGAGTTGCAGATGGATGGGGAAAGAAAGAGCTCAGTGTGACGGTTTTCTAGAAGGCAGCATTGGGGTTTGCTTTTCCCTCCCAGTTGGCTCAAGCTCAGTGGCTCACTGAGTCAGTGGGAGCACTAGAGTTTGGTTTCCTTCGAGCAGTTGGAAGGAAAGGAAGGGAGCCATAGAGAGTTTAACAGTAAGTTCTACTTCCGGTAAGAGACCATGCAGAGTGGTATTTTGAAAATGAAACGTGCACCTGGGTAAACTAGAATCTTAGGCAGAAGTGAGCGAGATTAGAGTTTGACCTCCTCTGGGGCTTTCCTTTGAAACATCGCTTAAATGATATACTGTACTGTATATACTGGTAGGTAAAAATGCATAGATGTTAACCGATAGAAAGTATGTACAGCAATGACGAATTTAAAAATACAGTATAGGGATCTGATCTAAAACATGGGAAAGGAGTAGCAATTCTAAAAAAGATTTCCATACTTTTCAATGGTTTTTGTATAAAATTTAGTACGAAAATCAGTATTTTTAGGTTCCACATTAACTATTTTACTTACAACTTTGATGTACTGTAAATTTGCCAGGGAAATGTCAAAATAAATGCTGTGTTCTCTTCCAATATCAATACTAGACTCCTGAGACAACCGTATGACATTTGAAAAAGAAATATCTTTCAAGATGGTAATTGAGGAAACAGATTGTGCTGGAATTTGAAGAAAGAAACAAAATGAAGATGGATTCAGACTAATTACAGTTTATATTCACAACAATATAATTCCCGCATTTGGGTTTGGTTCAGAGTTGCTGAGTTGGAAAAACACCTGGAGCCTGGTTCAGTTCAATAGATACAGTACCTACTGTATTAACTTCACTTCTGGTCCATCCTCAGCAAAGAAGTGAGATGTTTAAAGAGAATGGGATGACATTCATTCTTCCCAAGTGGCAAGTCTGTTAATGCCATTTAGTAAATTGATCCCTATGCTTTTCCTCATGGTGTTGTTAAAAATATTATCTGTACAACAGTTTGCTGTTTTCAAGATGAGGAGCAAGATAACTGACAAAATCATGCAAACCCAATTTGTTCTGACGTTTTACTGTAGATTTATTTAGACATGTAGATTGGGAGAATTGTAGGCTGCCTGCACAACCAATCAATGTTGGATGAGCCAGCTAGAATTCTTAATGTAGGCACCCAGCTGGGAAGAACAGCATCACCTGTGCAGCAGCAGCTTAGCATCTTATGTTCTCCTAAAATATAGTACGTCCGGACCTAAAGCAAATGTAATTATGCACAATGAAAGTCCAGAAAATCTAAAACATTACATAAATAACTGGTTGGGAACATACTGTACATAATGCTATCTTAATTTACATATAGTATAAAGAAAACAAATTTGTCAACTGGTTGAATAGTAGTTCCTTAGTAAAACTGTAAAAAAAAAAATACTGAGCGTAATTATAAAATATATAATTTTATAAACAGGAGCTCAGTGTTTGATATCTGAGCTGTCATTGAGCCAACAGTTGCTTTGCTACTGTAAGCCAATCTGTGTCAATGATGTCAGTTCTTTAATGCTCAAAGATCTCATATTGGATATTTATTATGTAATATTTAAATTTTAACAATGTGTCA